CAAGCAGCCTGCCTTCAAAGAGCACTCGAGGAGCACTGAAGTCAGTAAGAATGCAAGAAGCAGCTGTCTCATACACGACGTCTAAGAACAGCACACAGCGCGAGCTTCAGGAAACGGCCTATTTAAAAGCAGCGTGCCCTGGAAGTCGCCGAAGTCGATGTTGAGGTAGAAGTCGTCGCGGGCCCGAGGGGCCACGCTAGGGTCTTTGCAGAAGGCTTGGGCGAAGGGATCCCTAGAGGGAAAACTACCAAACACCTGTCACCTCAGCCAAACACCTTTAGGGTTTAGGGTTTAGGGTTTAGGGTTTAGGGTTTAGGGTTTAGGGTATTCGGGCCCTGACATAGTCAATGTCCAAAACCCCCGAAGGAACTCTGGTCGTAAGGATCCAGGAACCCCCTTTTAGGATCTATATAATCTAGGGGCCTTAATAGCTAGAGTAGGGTTTCGGGGCCCATTATACTACAAATATACCAAGGAATCCCCAAAATAGAAAAGGTAATTATGAACTCCCCTACATTAGGCCCTTCCACTCCTGCCGAGCGATCCGAATATATTTCCCACTCAATTTCGGTGCTCAAGGCGTCGGGTTTGCGGCTTAAGGTCTAGGACCTAATATAGGGGCCTTAATTATCAAAACAGGGTTTGGGTGTTTTTATACTATAATTATAATAAGGAACTCCCAAAATAGTATCAGTAGTTACGTAGGCCCCTACATTGGGACCTAGGGAACCCCAAACCCCCAAGCATTAACCCCCAAACTCCAAAGCTTCCCCAACTGCGCCTGTCAGCTGTCGAAGAGGGCCTGTTGCGATGATGGGCGACCTTCGCTGAGGTGAGCAGAAGCGGAAAATCACCGAAGGAATGAAGCCGAAATAACCCTACTAACACCCATAGACCCTAAACCCTAAACCCTAAACCCCTAAACCCTAAACCCTAAACCCCTAAACCCCTAAACCCTAAACCCCTAAACCTGAGGCTACAGCCGCGCTGTCATTGAGAACAGGACGTATACTGAGCAGAAGATGACCTAACAACAACTTTACTGTCGCTCCTTGGGTCGAAGCGCCTCTTCGAATATGATGATTCATAGAGGGGCTTATAAATAATTAGAACAGGGTTTCAGGGAAAATTACAGTATAGTTCTAATAAGGAATAGTATTGGTGAAAATAATTATCAATACTATTTGTTTGGGGGGGGTCCTTATTATAACTATGCTAAGATATATATATATATATATATGTATATATATATATATACACATATATATATATATATATCCCAAAACCTTGTTCTGATTATTAAGGCCCCTATATTAGGGCGGCTATGTGGAACGGAGGACACGAAGATGAAGGTGATGATTGCTGCGACGACAGTGCTGCTGATGGTGGTGATGGTGACAATCCTAACCGCGTGCTCGATATGCAGACTGATGATGCAGGGGACAAACATGGCAATAATGACAGTGGAAATGATGACCATAGTGGTAGCGATCACGAAGATGACCACGGAGGAAGGCGAACATGAATCGCTTTCGATCTTCCGAACTGGAGGAGGCCTTCGGGGTGCGGCAAGGACGCAGGGCGGCAACATTTATGGTGACTCCATGTCCCCTCACACGGGTCGGCAATGTAGGGAAGGGGAAAAACTGCAGTTGCTAAAGGTGTCCCAGACAGAGACTAGATCCCAGGTACCTGGTCTTTCTGGGCTGCTCTTCTGCGTGCTCTTCTGCGGCTTGTTGAGTTCAGGCCTTTCTAACTTTGATGCGTGAATCCCGACAGTGTTGGATTTCGCATGTAAAGTTATTTAACCTAAACCCTGAAGCTTCTCGAAATCAGCCACAAGCCCCAAGAAACGTGCCGTAGGCGAGCAGTCCTGGCCTCTTCGTCGAGAAGAGGTATCGGGGAAGCCGGCCTCACCCACACTCAAAGCTCTTTGCTGGTACGTGCTTTCTATACGGCTTGATGGATTTGTAGGGCTTCCTGCAATTTGATACAATGCTCATGTTTGTTCTTCAAGGGCTTTACATGTACTACTTTGACGACTATGACTCCTTGCTTTATTTTTAATTTGCCTTCTGCATCACAGCTGCAAGCAAACGCTTTGATTGCGAAGGGGATGGAAGTCCTTGGGTCTGGGCTTCTGTTTCGGGGGATGTCGAGAAGACGGACTCTTACGATGAACCGCTGTGCCTCCAAGCAGTCTACCTACATGTTGCAATTGCTCGAGCTGCCCGCAATTGCCTGTTATCGTGTCGAAAGGCTGCGAAGTTCGGGTTGGGGGTAACTGTTTGATGCGATTGTTCCCAATCCCACCTGCTTCCCAGTCGGCAAAGAATGCATCCACGTTCGCAGCCGAGAGGTTCTGAGCAAAGACGGCTTAGGAGGAGGGGCTGAGGTTATAGGGCGCAAGATCACGGCTCACCATCATCCCACATTGAGCGCCTGATTGACTGTGCAGCAGGCTCTGGTGCTGGTAGTACTACTGCTACCAACGTTCGGACCAGATCCGTGGAACCGGAGCCGAAGTTTTTAGTCCAACCCTGCATCCAGAACCCTGGCCTCCACGCGGTACTTCGGCGACAAGGGCATGTGGCTGTGCGTGCTCGACTTTGGCACGATCTCCTGAGACATGGGAAATTCAAGCTGCCTTCGCCTTGGAAAAGTTTATGCCACCGCCCCAACTCTGAACCAGCCCCTAAGATCAGGACATTGAATTCTTCATAAGGCGCGCTGTCTGTGCTCTATAGCACTTGGGGATCAGGTCTGTCTGCCGGCTGTGTATGGATTTGCTACCGATGGGCACTGCAAATGCCGGTACTCGTGCCCGTCGTGACTCGCAGCTCAAGCACTTATGACTCGATGTGCCTTCGGCTTTTCGATGAGCAATACCTCATCCTGCGTCCAGACCTGGCTGAGGAGTCTTGGGGGTAAAAGGGGATCCTTCTCTTGCTTCTTCTTTCAGCGTTTATGGTTTCGGGGATTCTTGTCTTTCAGCTGGAGAGCTTCAGAAAGGCGCTGTAAGGGTTGCCAGACTCGTTCCGCAAGGGTTCTAGCAGGGCTTTGAGCTTCAGGCTTTCAGAGTTTGGGTGCAAGGATGTGGTAAGATTCAGGGGTCGCGGGGTCTGGTTATACCGATATACCGTCATGATCAGGTTCTTGGGCTATCGCACATACGTTTCCTTCTCGTAAACACTGGAGCTCCTGAACCCTAAACAGGGAGGAAGCACCCCATACATGTCGCAGAGCTTCTGCGTTGTGGCAGTCCTGGCAAAGAAGGTCACCTGCATGCACGGGAAGACAAGCGTGCAGGAGCCCAAGACGTCTTGGCTCCAAAAATCTGAGTTTTAGGCAAAAGGGTTTGAAGGGCCTTTGGGTTTTCCTTTTTAATTTCAATGGCCGTTCTCCGCACAGGTCTCGGGCCTGCCTTTGATGAGGCATACACTGGCATACACTCCAGCACACCCCCCAGGAACAAACGTGCGCATCAGAGGTGAAACTCTCAACCAGGAGAGACGATATCCCCATTGCACGGGTCAGCCCCTTCCAATGACACCTCTACATGATCCAGGCGGATGGAAAAAGTGGGGTGACCAATATCCCTGCTGACGAAGCTCTTCCTAAAAACTCGGGGATATCGTTTTCATTCTTGCACTTATGGGGCCAGGGTCCTGGCGTTCCGGATCCGCGCCCGGTGTTCCGGAGCCGGTTTGTGGAGTTCCGGTGTCTATTGTATCGCACACCGGGCGGCTGTCCGTTTGGAAGCTCCCTTGCTGGATGCTGCCCTTTTCACTCAGGGCACTGTCAGTTCCGCCATGCAGTTGTCAGCGAGAGCACGCCAACCGCAGTCCCCACTGTCTGCGTGGTCGACTTCACACCACCGGCACAAATGGCTTCTGAGAATGACGTGGCTCCCCTGTCTTGGGAGGCTGAGCAGTGCTTGACTGCGTCCGCTTCGTCCTCAGAGTCGCGTTTTGGCGACCTACTCCTTTCCCCGCCGTTCTTGCATTTCGCCCAGCATTTGTAGGATACGTTCAAGGCGATTCAAGATGCTGTTTGGCACCCCATGCTCTTCGAGATCTTCAAAACGCGCGTCGAGGGTATCGGTCTGGGCTCCAGGTTCAGTGTACGTAGTGCTGAGTTTGGGGCACAGGCTTCAGGGTTGATGATTGCTTCAGATGCTCAGTATTCGTGACTCATTTGGTGGGTGGTGTGTTCCAAGTAGCGATAACTATATTATGGGTTGAAATTCAAGGCGCTTGGGGCTTAGCACTACCAAACCTGCAAAACCTCGACCCGAATCACAAATCCCGCAAGCACTACCAAACCCGTAAAATCTCGACCCTAATCACAAATCCCGCAAGAACATCCTTTCGCCTCGAACCCGGACCCGCTTCCTATACTTCTAACAACCTAGAACCCCAACAGACCCCGCTAAACCCGAAGCGGAAAACACCAGACGGGAACCCAAACCCTGAAAAAACAGCGCAGAAACTCCGCAAGCCCGGTTCCCCAAGCTCAAGGCCAGAGGGGCCTTAATAAGTAGAATAGGATTTTTGGGGGGTTCCTTTTTAAATAAAGGGTTCCTTGAAGTGTTCTATAAGGGCTACTGTAAGGGCTTAAGGGTGTGGGGCCTAAATAAGTAGAATAGGGCTTTCGGGCCCAATATACTTCAATTATAATAAGGAACCCCCAAAATCGTATAGGAAATGATTAAGGCCCTTATAGTAGGGAAGCTTACACAGCAAGGTCAACATGTTCCTATTGAGTCACTACTACTGTCAATGCGAATACAATACTAAGAGTAGCATCACACACACAGAAACATCGGAGGACCTTGAGCCTATCCGCCAATCGGTGGGCGTGAGGTTCCAGGGCCTTGAGACGGGTTCTATTTGCGGGGGCTCCTCTCGAAAGAGGATTGTTTTGTTCTTCACGGCTTTAGAAAGCTTTTCGCCGGAGCTTTTTTGCTTTTGTAAAGGCTTACCGGGGTTTTCTAAATCAGACCATGAAGGTCGGTTTGTACATGGTACTTTGTATACGAGTCGTCTACGGATTCTCTGAAGGGTTTACAGGGGCTTTAAAAGGGCTTGAGACTGATCAGGGCTTTGATAGTTGAGGCAGGAAGGCAATTTACAGGCTTCAAGAGCAAGGGGCTTTTTCGGGTCTAGCTGTTGGGGGGTTGAGGGCTCCAACGAGTAAGAGACTGAAGGGCAACTTGGGGGTCAAGATTGCCAGGATATGAGGGTTTATATGATTTCGGGGATTGTGGGCTTGGGTAGAAACGTTTTACCGTTGTAGGGCTTCTGCTGCTTGAGGAAACCTGTAGCCCACGCTTACCTCAGAAGTCGTCTACCTGGCCCAACCTTATCTTGGCGAGGCTTCTTGAACACCGAATGCCGGAAGATGAATAATGTAGGGGCCTTAATAATCAGAATTGGGTTTTGGAGGCTACTTAAAGTACAAAATACCTACAACCCTGTTCTACTTATTCAGGCCCCTAAATAAGTTTGACTGTAGCTTCCAGGGAACTCGGCACTGCGAGTCTAGAACCCTAGATCAAAAGGTAAAAAGAACTCGGGATTTTCCGGTTAAGGTTTAGGGGTTTAGGGTTTAGGGTTTAGGACGAGCTGAAGAGCGCCGGCTCCGGTTTGGGTTTTGGTATACGTAAGATGTGGTACGCCATCAGGGCCCATGGTTTGCTCGAAAGCATCACCACATAATCTAGGGGCCTTAATAATTAGAATAGGGCTTTGGGGTATATTATACTATACTTACAATCACGGAACCCCCAAAATAGTATTGGTAATTATTTACGCTTGTGGGCGTTCCTTATTCGAGTTATAGTATAATATACCCCAAAGCCTATTTTAGTTTTTTTGGCTCCTATATCAGGCGTGGGATCCTGATAAGAAAAAGCTGCTTGCCACTTTCTGGGCACATGTAGAGGATTGATTCTGCCATGCGTAGGGGCTGAAGACCCCAAGAGTCGAAACCGTAAGTTTGGTATAGTGTAAAGTAAAGTATAGACTAGTATAGTAAAGTTATACTATAGTATACTATACTATGTTATAGTCTAGTATAGTATAGTACAGTATGGTATAATATAATATGGTATGGTATGGTATGGTATAGAAGGTATACTGTATTCAGAACCCCTTCACGCCTTGGCCAAGTCGTCCGTGTCGGTGGCAACCGGCTTCACGACCAAAAGAACACCAAACGGGTTTTTCGTCCTGGGCGGAGGTCGTGTGCAGAGCTTTGGGATGGGGCACCAAAGGCTTGAAGGTCTTGGTCTTGCACCTCCTCAGAGCAGAAGGGGTTTCTCCTGCAGATCCTCTGTCACAAGATGGCATGCCCATAGCGTCCCTGTGATTGATTGTGCAAACTCGAGTCTGTCATTTTTTGACGTCCTACATCCCCCTACACCCTCAATCCTTCCCTGAGCACCCGGCAGGTACTTGGTCGGCGCAAACTGCGGCTGCAAGCCTGGGCATTTCGAAGCTTTTGCGAGCATCTGGGAGAGCAGCCTCAGCCAAGCCCTAAACTCCAGTCCCGAACCCTGAGCAGGCCCTGCTTAGGCCCACTGAACCATTTCAGGGTTCAGGGGCTCAGGCCCCTTAGAGTAATTACGAAGACCCTGCTGAGTGCATGCCAGAGGCGATTCACCGGAGGATAGGACCTGGGAAGCCACCAAACACAGTGGCTTATGGGGGAGCTCATGAACAGGGAACCCTAGTATAGTAGGATGCCCCTCTGATCCTAGAGAAGAGAGAATTCAGAGAGACCCTACATAGCAGAAGAGAAAAATTCGCAAAGACCTTAAAACTTGGTATGCCGGTTTGGGATTGAGATGTGTTGATGTACCTCGAACTTAAACAGCTGCAATTACTTAGTCCGTTGGGTCCTGACTTACACTCCGACTTGGAGTTCATAGGGGCGCTTGCACAAACGTGCACTGGGGCACTTACTCAAGACTCTATGGGCAAGTTATAAGGGTGGGGGGCAAGGTGATAAGCACCCCAACTGTCACTGCATCTGAAATCCTGCTTCTACATTCTACTTGCTAACCCCTCTACCTACTAACCCTAAACCCTAAACCGCCTAGTTCTAGGTTCTAATGACCGAGTCCCCCTGAATCATGGAACCTGACCAAGCTCTTATGGCTTAATGTACCGGCCTCAATAATTACCTATATTATTTTGGGGGTTTCTTATTGTAATGGTACTATAACGGACCCCAAAACCCTATTCTAATTATTCAGGCCCCTATATTAGGGTTTCAGCTCTAGGATTGGGCTTAAGCTTTAGGGCCTTTACGGCTACTGAGGCTTAGGGGTTTAAGCTTTCGGGTGACTCTGACTCTGATTTAGGGTTTTAGGGGACGGCTTACCCGAAACCACTTCTGAAAGAGCATCGTAAGACAATGTAGGCTCCCGAAATCCAATCCTCAGAGCTGTACGAGCTTGAGAACAAAACTGGGAATAAGCAGAAGATGTAAACCGTGAACACTGCATAAAGCCCCACAGCCGCAGCACAATCAGTGAGACTTAGCTCCCAAACAGCCGAAGTGCACATCTTCCAACCATTTTCGGATCGAAGACTTTGTCCTTGCAAACTTCGCTTGGAGGAAAAGGATGAGGTTTGATACACTTCACAGCTTTGCCTTTGAGGTTAGCACGTTCAGGGCCTAGGGCTTCTGGAACCACGTAAACAAGCGGTCTCTCCATCGATGTGTGTGTGCTTGAAACAGCAATCTAGACCTCCCTAAACCCTAAACCCTAGTACCAACCCCCACCCCCAAAAAAGTTACAGGAACATATCCCGAAGCCGAAGCGGCCGAAAGTCCCAAGTGTGGCAATGGCAAGATCTAACCCTCAGGTTGGGCTTAATATAGGGGCCTTGATAATCAGAGCAGGGTTCGGGGGTATAGTCTACTATAACTATAACTATTATAGTATACTATAACTATATTTTTAGGGGGTTCCTCATTATAGTATAATAAGGAACCCCCTAAACTTATAGTGTAAAATACCCCCAAAAACCCTATTCCAACTACTGAGGCCCCTATATTAGACAGACTCTGCGCTGCACGAAACGAACCGACTTCGCATTCGGGGCACTAGGTCTACTGATGTACTGTCCTGCTTCTATGAAGGTTACAGTAAAGTTACGATACTGTTGCTTTAAGAATACGATAAGCTTACTACAATCTTGCCATGAGGCACTATAAGTATAACAATATTACCATAATGTACTAAACTCACTCAGTCTTCGGCTTGATGGGACCCACCAACCATGCCAAACACAAGAATGATGAGCCAGCGTCTAGGGTCTAGGGTTTAGAGCTTGGGTACAAACAGTCGGCATGAGAATAAAAGAGCAGGAAGAACGAGACTTGGATTCAAGCCCAGCATCCACTTGCCGTCATAACTGACGGGATCGTAGCGGTATCTGTACACCTGAGTGGAAGTCAGGGAGCAGACGAGATTGAAGCTTCGCGGGGATCATGCGCCCGGTTGAAACTTAGCGCTTGGGGCTGAGGGCATATAAGGTTGAACGGCACAGGCTTTCGGAGTTTAGGGTGAAAGGACATCATAACAATACGGATCACTTTGGGAATGCTTGGAGAAGGTCCTTTCAAGGCGCAAACAGCCAGGTAACAGGTTTCGGATTAAGGGTTTCAGGCTTAGGGAGTAGGTTTTTTGTTTTAGGGCTTGGGTTGCAGATGTGGGGTCTCGATATCGGGCGAAACAGCATCAAGCGGGACGATCCGGTGAATCTGCTCCGATACAGGTCTCAAAAGCGGCACGCGCACACACATGTCGAAGCTTGCTTTTTCCGGCGAGGATGTGGGTGTCTGTCAGTTGCTCACGCACAGCACTGCTGTCCCCACCGCAAGTGCCACTGCCCCAGGTCACCACCTTGCCATCCGCCGCCACGGCGGCAAAAGCATTGCGGGTCGCCTGGATATGCTGCACATTCCTGAGCAAAACAGATCGTATCACACATGTCAAATGTCTGGACGGTCACGACAATCATTGCATCCTAAAGCCTATCCCAATTAATCACCCGCTCCTAAATCCTTGCTCCTCAATCAAAGCTCTGTGAAACCAAGCCCCGAAAGACACTCTTTGAGCTGGGACTCGTCAGCTGCTCTCGCACAGCGCTGCAGTCACCACCCCGATCAGCAGCTCCCCATGCAATCACCGAGCCATCGCCCAAGAGGGCGGCAAAGGCACCGGAGGATGCTTGCACAAGCCGGACCTCGACTTCAGGACAAGTGGCTTTACTGGTCAAGCTTCCGGATGAGCAATCCTAACTAAAATGCACGGTAACCATACCTTCACTCATGGGGATCTGGCGCCGCCAAGTCTCATCCCTCAGCTGTGCCTGTACTTGGGAGCTGTCCCCACCATCTGACGAATCTCCCCAGGTTACGACGCCTCGTCAAGTCAGGGCTCAGGAGTTCTGCAGCAGGCTGGCTTGCCAAGTCAACGGTCACGCAAAGAGCCTTTTAGTACAGATCGAGCCTTTAACCAAACAGGCTACTACTACTACTACTACCACCACCACCACCACCACTACTACTACGAAGACGACGACGACTACTACTACTACCACTACTACCACTACTACCACTACTACCACTACTA